CATGACAAATATGTTGCTTTTATTATCTCTGCCCTCTTTAAATATCATTGAAAAAAAAAAGGGATTTTACATAACAGTGTTCTTTTATGTACTCTGTCTATTTAAAACGAAGGTGATGTTTATTCTACGCAGCTTCCTGTCCTTTCTAGCTCTAAGCAACGTTTGACATTCTACAATATTTCTCTGTCCCCGCCCTGTCGTTCATTTACACAAACTCGTTATGTAGGTGATTCCATGTTTCTTTCTATCTCTTGTTCTGTGAGTGTTAAATTTTTAAAAACTTCTTTCTCCATATCATTATCTAAAACTTTCAATTGTCTTTTTTGTATAGGTGCTTTTCTAATTTCGAATTTTCTTTCAATCTCTCTTGTTGATTACATGTCCAGTGTGTGATATTCTCAGTATCCGTATAGCCATAGTTAACACAATGTCTTTAGATGTAATCTATATTAACCTTGTAAATGGCTCAGAACCCTGCACCCCTGTAAACAAGTGGACATCCATTTTTGACCAGCTATATATTTGGTTTAAACGAAAAGAGAGATAATGTGGGAGTAAAGTTAAATGTAAAATCAGACGTTTTATTTCACAAGAACATTTTGTTCTTGTGAAATAAAATCGTTTTCTCATCACACCGGTTTATTAGCGAAACATGTCATGTTATTCTTTTTTCAGAATTGCTTAATTATATATTTCAACAGTATTTCTTAACTGCAGGACTTCATTGGCATACACCCCAATTTTACACGTGGTCGAATGAGGGCAGAACACGTAATCATATCATATGATGTAATATACTAGAGAACTGCCTGGATTTGACGTATAAAAAGCAACTAGTAATCTGTTTAAAATGGAAAGAGAATATATATAAGACAATAATGGAAAAAAAGATTGAGTAGAATTCTGAGAGAATTCAAATGAAAAACAAATTAAAACTAAAAGGAAAAATGAGCAATAATTAAAGTTTAATTAAAAAAGAGTGAAATATTTAGAGTAAAAGGGACACAGAAATATCCAACAATCCTTTTCGGAAAAACTTGAACAAAGAATAATCTAAATAAAAAGAAACTATTGTCAGTGGATTTTAGATTAATAATTTTGATTTGCTGCTTCGGAGATGTAGCTCTACAGAAGGATGCTAAGGATATCCTGGACCGAGCGTGTGAGCAACGATGAGGTCTTAGAGAGGATGCAAACATGGAGGAGTCTTATATTTAACACCAGGAAGAGGTAGCTGAAGTTCCTGGGACACATGAGGAAGGGGGGCACGGAGAATCTGATACTCACGGGTCGAATAGAGAGAAAGAGAGAAGGGAAAACAACGCATGACATACCTAGCGGCCTTAGGTAAATGGATGACAGAACGTGGTCTGGGGGGAGGTGGCAGAGGAGAGGAACTTGTTGAGAGCTGCAAGGGATAGGAGGAAGTGGAGAGCCATGATCGCCTACGTCCTGAAAGGACACGCCACATAGAAAGAAAAAAAGTTTATCACGTTTTAAATTTTGGATTAAATCCAGAATCCCAATTTTAACTTATTTGAATGCACTTGTCACTGGGTTTAAAACATTCGCTCAAAACTACATTCAGTTAAGTCAGTTATGTAAAATACCATACATGATACACACTTCTTTACTCATAGCTGGAGGGTGGCGGAGAAGAAAGGGATTCATATCTTTCCCAAGGGGATTAGCAGGTAAGTGAATGTAATGGATTCGACTCGAATTCGAACTCAATCCGAGCCGCTATCCGTTACTCCACCGTGCTTCTCGATCGAAACTACAGCATTGTGGAATTTGTAACAATGTATTCCTTCAAAGGCTAAATGAATACAAAAAGATTTTCTTGCCAGATGAAATCTATTAGCTTTACTGTTTGGAAGTTTAAATATAGTCTAAGTCTCGCCATCTTAGAATTCGTATTGGATATTTGGCATGTTAAACACTTCCATTTCCTCTGTTTCTTCTTTATCTGTGATAAACTTCAGGGACCGTTTTCTATTCATTCGTTTTGGGTGTTTGGAAGGCTGCTCTCGAAAACATTCTGCCAACGGAAGTATCTTATCTGGAAAACGTCAGCGGACTGTGCCAGAAATATACTACTCGCTATGCTGACCATTCGGACAGAAAAGATAACAGGAGCCGGCCGACCATTATAGCATTTTGAAATCGGCATTCCACAAAACAGGTGGGTCATTGGATTCTCTTCAGAAATAAATGAACTCTCTCTCACCTCTCATGTGTGCATATATATATATATATATATATATATATATATATATATATATATATATATATATATATATATATATATTCTTAAGGTATGCTATATTTATGGGATAAAGTGCTCAATATCAGAGATAGAGCGTGTATAAATATAAAAGTGAACATTGATGTCAACACTTAGAGTCTGTAAGTGTTGACTTCATGTTCACTTATATATAGTGTGTGTCTTTAAAATTTTTTAACCGTATGGGAGAAGATAATTCAACTGCAGGGATGGTGCGAATGTGGATACAGCGTGGAAATAGGAATCAACACTGAATGGTGACTAGCACTTTCACGTCTGATCTGATCATGTGACATTCCTTTATAGATAGACTCACTTGTGTAACTCGGCAAACCAATTTAAAATGTCTGTTCCGTTAACTTTTACAATAATGCTCTTGGGAAAGGCATGAATTCTAAACCAAGCTATAGGTTAAATATCAGTGTAGTCTTGTAATGCCTACATCCTGAAAGGACATGGAAATGTATATGAGTCACTAGGAGATTGTTGGAAAGGGAAACCGATTTTTGCATTTTTATTCATTTTTTTTGTGTGTAATTCTTTTAGATTATATTCCGTAGTAACCGTTTACATATTTATTTTTATGGCCATATACCGTTGAAGCACCAGTTCCTATACGGTCACCGAAGCCTAGTTGGGTGACCGCTTGGGATTACTAGACGCTGTAAACTTGGATGTGCGGGTGGTGTAATGGTAATAGTTCGGAATTGTTAATCGGAGAGCCGAGTTTCAATTCCCTTTCGGTTCGTTATATTCAGTTATGCGCAAATGCCCTTGGGAAAACTATGAATCCACCTCATCTTCCCCCGAGCTATGGGTTAATTAGTAAGAATTGTATCACTAAATCATTATCTAAAAAAATATTTCTTACAATCTAAAAAATATTTTCTGGTTTTAAATAACCTGCAAACGGTTTCTAAACTATTGAAAACGAATCAATCAATCAATATTTATTTATTTTTAATTTATTTATTTTGAGAAATCTTCTCCAGTTCCATATTTGTTTTTAAAGAAATTTTATTATCATTAGGTTATTGTTTTGTCACTGGAGTCGTGATGTGGTTGCAGAATAAGGCTAGCTATATATATATATATATATATATATATATATATATATATATAGAGTTTTATTCTGTCAGTAATGTTTACATTGATTCCCGAATTTTGATAAAGATTAAAGAGTGGTGAGAATTTTTTTCTCAAAAGTGTCGTGTTATTATAGTATATATATATATATATATATATATATATATATATAGGAATGGGTAGGAAAAAATGTACATACAGGCACAAATACTTGCACGTATGTAAGTATACTTATTCCTAAGTTGTTATAAATACAGTGCTCAACGCTATAAACAGGGCAGAGAGACAGATAACGCCAATTTTGAATTAACAACACGAGAACGCGACAGATAACGGTTAGAACTCACACCTGAAGATTGCATGAAAGTGAGTAGTGTTATTGATGTTAGATATATATATATATATATATATATATACACACACACACGAATCTAATGAGGACGAAATAATATATAAATTCTAACGTTCACAGCATTAATTCAAAAGAGAGCTCAATACCGATAGTAATAATTATTTATTATAATTTTTTATGTAGACAAAAACAATTTACTCACGACAAAGATGCAACTTCATTTTGGTGCATTAATTGCATTTCGACAGGAGAGAATCAAAATGGTTATGAATAATACTGTTTGTAAGCAAGCTGCATGTGGAACGTCACTTGTTTTTTGAAAAAATTATATATATATATATATATATATATATTTTATATATGACCGGTGCTTATTGGAAAGCGCTCACTCATATCCATTCAACTATATATATATATATATATATATATATATATAACCCCATCTTTGCGTCAACCGATAAAATGAACTCGGTATTTCGGTTTTCAGAAAGTAAGCTCTATGATTATAATTTATCGCTAGAGAAAAGTCTTCAGGGCAGCAAAGATTTTCTTTAAAAGCTGTATAATACTCGGATATACATTGGAGTGAAAATATATATTAAAAAATGTCTGATATATAATATGAATGTATGAATTCCTGATGATAGACTGCTGAATCTAGCTTCGTCTCTGCGTTCATTTTGTTGATGCTTATCGACAAGATTGAGTGTCAATGTCATAATTAACAGATTTACGCTACGACTGGCAACAGCGTTCCTAGTCTCTTGTCTCTCTTCAATGTCAGTTCGTTTTACATTTTCTTGTTCATTCCACACAACTTTTTCCACTCCGTTTTAGCTTGGAAGCACCCAAGCTAAAACGGAGTGGAAAGAACATGCACTGAAATGTTAAAGCCTAAAATGCACAAATATAGATAAATGTGCTGAATAGAGAAACGAAATCATTCGTTGAGAAATAAGCAAAAAATCCTCATGAACAGTTTTTTTTTTGTTTTTTTTTTAATATTATACAAAATTTTGCCAATAAAGTGAAAATTTTTAGTATCAAAATTTATTCAGAAGGCATGTAATGTTATTTATGGGAGAGAACGAGACAGGTGAACAAATGGACGGAGAGAGATGGGGTAGAAAGAGAAAGCTAGGGGAAAAAGAGAGGAGAACGTGGACTTGATAAATATAGAACTGATAGAGAGAACTGGCTAGATGCAAAGCTAGTGACACACACAGTGATAGATAATGTACAAAATTGGATAGATTGAACCAACTGCATGGACTGCTACGGAGAGAGAGAGAGAGAGAACGGGCCGTACGGAGAGAGAGAGAGAGAACGGGCCGTACGGAGAGAGAGAGAGAACGGGCCGTACGGAGAGAGAGAGAGAGAACGGGCCGTACGGAGAGAGAGAGAGAGAGAGGGCCGTACGGAGAGAGAGAGAGAGAGGCCGTACGGAGAGAGAGAGAGAGAGGGCTGCCGGAGAGAGAGAGAGAGAGAGAGAACTGGTCGTACGGAGAGAGAGAGAGAGATAACGGGCCGTACGGAGAGAGAGAGAGAGAGAGAGAGAGAGATAACGGGCCGCATGGAGAGAGAGAGAGATAGAGAATAAACGGGCCGTACGGAGAGAGAGAGAGAGAGAGAAATAAACGGGCCGTACGGGAGAGAGAGAGAGAGAGAGAGATAAACGGGCCGTACGGAGAGAGAGAGAGAGAGAGAGAGAACAAACCGTACGGAGAGAGAGAGAGAGAGAATAAACGGGCCGTACGGAGAGAGAGAGAGAGAGAGAGAGAATGAACGGGCCGTACGGAGAGAGAGGGAGAGAGAGAGAGAGAGAGTGAATGAACTGGCCGTACGGAGAGAGAGGGAGAGAGAGAGAAAGAATGAACGGACCGTACAGAGAGAGGAGAACGGGCCGTACGAGAGAGAGAGAGAGAGAGAGAGAATGAACGGGCCGTACGGAGAGAGGGAGAGAGAATGAACGGGCCGTACGGAGAGAGAGAGAGAGAAATGAACGGGCCGTACAGAGAGAGGGAGAACGGGCCGTACGGAGAGAGAGAGAGAGAGAGATGAACGGGCCGTACGGAGAGAGGGAGAGAGAGAGAATGAACGGGCCGTACGGAGAGAGGGGAGAGAGAGAAATGAACGGGCCGTACGGAGAGGGAGAGAGAGAGAATGAACGGGCCGTACGGAGAGAGGGAGAGAGAGAGAATGAACGGGCCGTACGGAGAGTGGGAGAGAGAGAGAATGAACGGGCCGTACGGAGAGTGGGAGAGAGAGAGAATGAACGGGCCGTACGGAGAGTGGGAGAACGGAAAGTGAGAAAGAGAGTGAGGGAGAAAAGCAGCTGGACGGACCGATAGCGGGAGAGGGAAAACTGGTTAAACGGACTGCTAGCAGGGGGGAGAGAGAGAGAGAAAGAGAGAGAGAGCCGGTTAGATGGTTAGCCAGAGAGAGAGAGAGAGAGAGAGAGAGAGAGAGAATCAGGATTTCACTTGTAGAAACAGCAAGAGGGCATTGGGAGTGGGTCGGCTGGGAGCGAGAGAGATATAGGTAAAGATATAGAGAATGCTTCAGAAGACGAAACAGGAAAAGGGAGATGAATGAACTTAATTGTTGATAAGATAATACAGTTGCATCTTGTTTAAAATCTACAGGGAAATATGCAGCCATGTTGGATACGAATATTGAATTGCATACAATATCCAGTTTTTCTGAGACGCTGTAAAGTCGCCTGAGGATTTCTGATGATTTGTTTTAAAATCAAAAATCTCCTCGCCCAATGAAAGTTATTCAAGGACAGAAGAGCAGAATTTAGATTAATTTCTATCCTCCTCCTGACACAAGAATAATGATCCTTTTAGTCTTGCTTGTAAGGACGGTTTTGTAGAGAACAGCGAAGTAGGTATAATTCGAAAACGTCTTCTTCCACTTGTACATCGGGATTATGTTCTGAACCAGTCAATGGAGACTAAGTGCTCTGTACTCGCTCAAGGCTTTTATTCTTCACAAAGTATTTTGTTAATGCTTCTGTCTCCAACAGAGTCACAAATGAATAAAGCAAACGCAAATAGGATCAATCAACGTATCTGTAATCAGTTTCACGTGGCCGACGTCAATCCCTTTAAAAATTCAAATAGCCTGATATTCTGATGGGCGGAACTGCCTTGTGGCTAAAGTAATTGCTTTTTTCCCGTCAAAATGCCACATATCGGTGTTCGGGTAGAAAAATAAATCGAGATTTCGACTTCAAGACAAGTCGGCTCTTCCCAAAACAGATTTCTGATAGATTAAGCTCAGGTAAATAATAATCTTTCTTCTAAGGTTGAAAGTATTGAGTTGACATTAAGAGTTCAAGATCTGAATCACTTATTCAAGATTAGGTGCTTGTTCAATGACAGCCCTATCAAATTTGCCTGGAGCCTGCGATTGTTAAGGCTGATCGTAGAAAAAGTACTCAAAAAAGGAAAAAAAAGTCCCCCAAAATTCAAATCCAGGAGAATAAATTAAGTTTATAACATTTTACTTATTCTGAGGATTTGCGGCCACATCACGTTGAAACATTGGTTCCCTTATGATTATCGAAGATAAGCAACGTCGAGCCTGGTCAGTACCTAAATGGGTGCCCACTTGGGAATACCAGATGCTGTAGCTTAGATGTGCGGATGGTGTAATGGATACTGATTCAGGATTCTTAATTGGAGAGCCGAGTTCCATTTCCCGTTGAGTTATATTTACTTACACGCAGATAACGTTGGGAAAGGTAAGAAACCACTTCTCACCCACCAGCTATAGGTTAATTATTAAGAATTGTATCACTCAATTCTTATTAAAGTATTTAAGTTTATTTTACTGGTGTTTCTTTTATTATCTTTCTTTTATTTTAACTTACAGACCGACATTCTACACTCGTTTATAAACAGTGTGGATCAGAAATTAACTATAAACCTATGTCGTTATTGGCACTCTTTAACTGTCTTTCTGTAGTAGCTACTTTACAGATTAGGCTACGAAGGTTAAGCAGTAGGAGTCATCTACATCAAGCGAATTTCTTCAATCCTTCAAATGTTGCCATTTTGGTTTATATTATATTAGGAAAGTAAAACGATTACTATTGATCGTAAAATGACGATCTGGGATGTTACCAGTCAGGACTAAATATTAATTGAGAGGTAAATACTTTCTGTAAAACTGCTGGTCTTACACGAATACACAAGCATTCAATGCGAGCAGTCGGGTTTCAGGCGAGCGTTATTTTTCGTTTTTGTACTACAGATGATAACAGTCAATATGGGAATCAAATAAGTTCAAATTGGCTCGTGTAAATAAACTGTTTTTCCTTTTATCTCAGATACGTCTAAATAAATAATAATATCTATGAAAAACAAACAAAATATTTTTAGTTCGTTACAACTATATCTTCGGCTTCTTTGTTGTTTCTTTGTTTGTATCGCCCCAAGAATTCATTATCGTTTGAGTTGGCTGATAAGGAGAGGAACCAAGGCGTCTAACCTTTCTTTGGAAATTCTCTTACTTCCATGTTAAAAATAGGTTTACAACATTCCGAACGACATTGTTAATTCAATTTGTGTACATTAGAACATTAGGCAAATTTAAAATAGTTTTAAAAATAAAGCCTTACGGTTATATCACGTTAAAATATCGGTTCCCGTACGATGAGCCTGGTCAGTATGCAGATGGGTGACCGCTTAGCAATACTGTAAGCTTAGATGTGCAGGTGGTGTAATGGATAATGGCTCGGATTTTTAATCAGAGAGCCGAGCTTCAATTCTCGGATTCGTTCTATTCACTTACGCATAAATACCCTTAGGAAAGGTATGAATCCACCTCTTTTCGCCCAATGTATGGGTTAATTAGTAAAACTTGCATCACTAAATAATTATTATCTCTACCCTTAAAAAAGATTCTTATAATCTAAATATATTTTCTGGCTTTAAATAACCTGCAAAGGGTTGGTAAGGCGTTAAAAAAAAACAAAAACGAAACAATAAAATCTAAAGAAATGAAATTAACTGAATTATAGGTTTCATATGGCAAGACTGTAGGTATTAAAACCTATTTTACACTTTAATAATGTTTTGACCCCAATTTGGAGGTTGACTATTTGCCCATAGCTGGGACCATAACAGGTGCTACCACTCCGGGTTAGTGAGGACCTGGGAACCAGAAATTAAGAGATGGTTCCACGCTCCTCAAAACCTTTCAATCAGAGGCCTTGATGCCGGATGTAGTTTATCGTCATACCAAGGACGCCCAAACTCGCGATGCCTCTTAATGCGACAGTCGACTTTCTGATTAGGCCACAGTGAACACCCAGCAGCATTCTTTCAGATAAATCTATATAGCTATTTCCTATTTCCCCAAACCGTTTGATTCATTGCTATTTCATTTTTATATATTTACTTACGCTACTATTATAATTAATATTATTTAATAGTAATATTAACAGTTTCCTTATAAGGAAACATTCAGCATTCCTTGATCAAGCAGCCAGTACTAATGCCGGTTGAAATTTTTTTTAAATTTCTCTTAAAGCCAATTTTTCAGAAAAATAAGTTTCTCATGTCCAGTAGCTGTTATCGCTCTTTCCAGTAATGTTGGCGGTTTCTTTTCTAACCTTTTATTTGAAATAGTGTTGAATTTCAATATCTTGATTATGTCATTTTTTCGCTTTGAGTTAACAATTTTATTTGTTGTTGAAAGTCCTCAAGTGATCTTCCGTTATCTTTTACAGTTCTCTGTGATTCTGTAGCGCCAGTCCACAATGTCAAGACCAACAAGCTTCATTTGTTGGAAGCCATTTTTAATCATTGATCTTAAAAAGTGGCTGTATACAGTTGATAGTTTAGTTCCTTTATGAGAGCGATGCGTTCGGTGGATTCGGACTTTGGAAGGCGGTTTCTAATGGATGACAAGAAAAAGTCACTATTGATGTAGTCATATTCTTCTGTCAGGTCGACATAGCAGATATACATTTTTCTATTTGAGTGGTATGTAACTTCCTGGAGTTGGTTAATGACATATATGTCATCATTACATCCCTTAACAGAAAGGAAACCAAATTGGGTCGTGAGGAGTTGACTTTCATGAAACGATGAGAACCGAGTTAATATGATTCTTAATACATCCTCATTATGTGTAAAGTATTAAAATCACATCCCTTGGGAACAAGACCGGACTATACTACTCCCCAAATCCACTTACCGCGAGTGGGGAAAGCTTGATTGGGAGTCCCGGGTAGTACTTTGTACCCTTGCTATTGTATGAAAAACTTTCGTGGATTTTGACGTCATTCTAGGGTGTTTTTTGTTCAAATCTGAATTTGTTTTGTTCTTGAAAAAAAAAAACTATATAAAAGATTCACTATTTTTTTAAACATAATGTTGAATATGTTCAAATTCATCAACTTAATAACAAGAAAAATCTCATATCAAAAATTGTCGCAAAACATTAATTTATTTAACATGGAATCATCTATTATGACATGGCTCTAATTATTTAAGATGGCATCATCTATTATGACATGTCTCTAATTATTTAAGATTGAAGTTTATTTATTGTGCAAAATACACAATGATGGCACAAGGCCTGAAAAGGGGAGGGGTTGAGGCTGGTCATCACCAACTATCTTATACCTAACTAATCCTATTCACGAACCATTCATTCATTACAATTTCCACATTCACCACAAGAACTCGTCCGTCACCAATCAATCCTCTATACACCACAATACCTCATTTTTACTAGGAGACTTACAAAACGCCCCCCGTGACATAAAAATTTACTGATGCTAAAATATATATAAAATTCTATGATGAAAAAATGAGAGGGCGGGAGATGAACCCAATAACAAACTAAAATATAAACACAAATCAAACTAAACATAAATGATGTTAGTAGGGCCGGACCAACCCTCGAAACAGAGAGGCCACTGTGTTCTGCTCATTGGACAAAATCAAGGGGCGCTCCCGCTAAAGGAGTGGGGAAAAGAATAAAAAACATACGGGCATAGAAAAATATAAAGCTGTCTAGATACATTGTAGTTATTTTTAATTTTTCTTGTTGAATTGTTCAACTATTTTGCTTGTGATTAATTATTGTATATAATTAGGTTACAATAAAATTTGTATTTTATATGAATACTAGCTTATGAAAATTGAGCTGTAGTAGTGTGGGGGTGCGTATCATTGATTGCGGGGATGGGGTTGGCACGAGAACCTTGCACTTTCTCTGCACGGGAATCTTGTCAGATACGATATAAAAGCAATTGAAACTAAGATAAAAAATTTTAACCTCAATTCCGTTTCATTCATTGTAGAGACTTAGTATTTGAAACCCTTTCATTCTGTTTATAGTGGAATCTAAAATTAATACCTTTACTCGAGACTAAATATGCCTTAGATATTTGCTCCGCCAAATTGTCTTCGGTCATAATTGTTCGATCACCCTAAACTAGCTGCCAGTAATCATTTTTAAACATCATCAAATATATATATATATATATATATATATCAGTTGACCTTCTTTATGAATTCCATCTAGAAATATCAACTGTTTTTTTTTCCATTGTGCTCTTTGATTCTGAAATATTTCAGTGAATGAATAACATGGAAGAAACATTTCTAATCATGGAAAACAAAATATTTAACTGAATTTATATGAAGCAAGCAAATGCATACAGACACACAAAAATAACCCAATTAACCTTCATATCTGTTGTCCTTATTAAACCAAATAACTATTTGGTTTAATACTTTTTAATAGTTTGCTTTCAAATTTTATGAAATTTGCTTTTTTGCTTCCAAAGCAATTTTGTCAGATTTTTTACTAATTACAGTAAAAGATCTAAAAAGAGAAAATCTATCTTGTCTTGATAAATGTACTTGTAGATTTCTAAGCGATGTGTCGTAGATGATTGCATTTTGCTCAAGTTTCTTGTGTTTGTTACGGGACAGTGGTGTGTACCGATTTTTACTCATCCACTTTTTCTACATCAAGCATCGTGGCATACCAGTGAAGAAATATTCTGTCAAGTTATCTGACTATATGACAAAATGCAGGGAGAAGTGAATCTATGCCTTTCTCAAGGAAATCAGTACTATAGGAATATAAGCAGTCTCAGTTGTTATACGAACACGATACATATTCAGTTTTCTGAGTCGAAATTCGTTGTCATTTTACATCAGCACTTGATCTCTAATATACGAAGGGTGCTGATAGGTTTTCGGTTCGCCGAAGAAATTCTTTGTATAAGGAATTCATTCATTTTTGGTTAATTTATTAAATTCTGCAAAATTGGTTGGACCAAGAACTTTTCAGCACCCCTCGTCCTACAGAAAAAATTAAAAAAAAATTTTTTAAAAGTGTTTAGTTCGATTTTTGAAAAATTGAGACGATTACAAGGATACAAGTATGAGTCCCTGATGAGGATTGAGCTGCTATTATTTCATTCAGAGTTGTTCGTATCTATACTGTGTTGCTTTTCTTATTTTAATCTGAGATGTGATGAGAGATTTTAATGAAGACATTATTTTTCATTACGCGTATGTGTGTTAAACAAACAGATAACCATTTGGGATAGTAATAAGTCGAATTATTTTGGTATTCCTTCGAAGAGAAACGAAAATTTGA